ACGTCCGCCATATCTCGGGGCCCCGCAGGCGAAGACTCCGGGAGAGGGCCGAGCTGCAGCCATGGGCCGAACACACAGCCCAGTCCTCCGTCTCCTCCAGACGAGGAGCCCGTGCATCGAGGAAGAAGCGCACAGCGGCGGGGCCGAAGCTGGCTGCACGAGTTCGCAACCTCCCCCATTTCCCCAGTCCCCCCCGTTGCGTCCGACCCGAGTGGTCCTTCTCTTCTGGCCAGAGGCTCACAGCTCGGTCCTCCCGGGGGCCGTTCGGAGCGATCGGGGCACCCTCGGGAGAACGCTCTCGACAGGGCGCAGCTGCCGGAGAGCACCGCCGAGGCCGGAGAGCACCCCGAGAGTCGACGGGGGCGCCCAGCCCCCCCCCCCCACGGCGGGCGGCAGGCGGAGAGGAGCGAGAAGGGCGGCGGCACGCCCAGGGCCCGCAGTCCGATCCGCCTGCCCGCGCTCCGGGGGGCCAGCCCTGGGGGGAGGGACGGGAGGGGGAACTCCGAAGGGGGCACGGGGCCTCCTCCTCCTCCTCCTCCTCCTCCTCCTCCTCCTCCTCCTCCTCCTCCTCCTCCTCCTCCTCCTCCTCCTCCTCCTCCTCCTCCTCCTAGGACAAAGCAAGGACCAGGACAACATCGGACCAGGATAAATCGGACATCTCTGCGATCGGGCGGTTCTGGAGGGTGTATCAGGCACCGCGGCCGTTCCAGAGCGCCCAGGAACGCTCTGAGAGCACTGGGGAAGGAACGATGTATCATTCACGTTATCTTGGGGTGAGGATGAAGGGGGGACTTAACCAGCAAGATACAAAAAAAGGCACAGCCCCAAAGAAAAAACGCGCTCTGGAGAAGCGCAGTCGCCGCGAGATGCAGGGAATCCGTGCGCGCCCTCAGGAATACCCAGGTTCACGCTCGCGCGGCGCGCGAGCCCCCGGCAAAAGGGACCGAGGTCGGCTCTGGCGCCCCCCCCCATGCAAGGCTGCGAGCCCGAGCGATGTGAGGAACCAGCTTGCAGCTCTCGAGGTCGTCGCGTGCGAGGCTGTCCGGCTCGGCAGCTCCCGGGATCGTCACCGGGGGCGTCCCGAACTTGCAGATGCGAGGGCAGGAAGGGGCAAGGCGCACACGAGCGCAAGGCCGCGCTCCAGCTCGCCACGACCCGCCGTCGACGGTCCGGGCTCTTGCCGCCGGAAGACGCCGCGGGGCCCCCTGCCCCCCATCGAGGCAAAAGCGGGGGGCGGGGCAGGCCGAGGGCTCGCCCGGGCCGAGCTGCCCGTGCGAGCGGAGGCAGAGCCGACGCGCGAACAGCAGGCAGTGAAAAGGCCGCTTCCCCTCCGAGGAAGCAGACGGACAGTCAGATCCCGCACGGCTGCAGAGCCAGAACCTGCTCAGGACACGGAGGGGAAATGACGTGCAACTCCTTTGCAACAAAACCGAAGACAACGACTTCGATACCTACACACGCACGTTCGCAGATGCACTCATTTACGTGCCGTCCGTCCACCTGCATGCCAGACGTCCTCGTCGTCTGCGAGAAAAAAACGCGATGGAAAAACCTGGAGAGACGAACGCATCACGTTTGGGAGACATCCCAATCACGACTTCTATGATGTCCAATACAGAGCGCCCGACTCCACGTCCCCCAGAGCCTCCCAAGGATGGCCTCTGGTGATCTGCACCCTGCTTTTCCCTGGCGTTTCCCACCGGGTGGTAATCTCGCCCCGAACGTGACCTACGCAATTGCACAGGCAATTAGGGGGGTCGCGTTTGCCTGCCAAGGTGCATTTGGGCCTGCGTCGCCTCCATCTGTCGCGCCATGCCGAGGTTCTGCTCGCAAGCCAGGTCGAGTCTTGCAACCCCCGACCAGGGGCACCCAGCATCCCTCAGGAAATGCGTCAGGAGGCAAGCTCGCACGCTCGAGTCCATACAGCCTTGCTGGAGTTAGACAATGACAAAGCGGATGACTGATTGATTGAAGCGGATGACGATGTCGACGCCGACGGCGATTGCCTTCGAAACGCGTCGTCAAAGAAAACGAAACATGACAAGTAAAACTCCAAGGAGGGGCCTGTGTCACCGCGGTACCACTACCTCCCAAGTCCCTCCTTCATCCCCACCAAGATAAGTTGAGTGACAGTCCTAGCCCCACGAGGGCCAAGACAAGGAAAGAGAAGGAAGAGCCTTCCCCGAAAGCAAAGCCCCTTGGACCGCCAGCAAGCCTCCAAGGGGCCCCATCCAGGCCGGGGGCTCCCAGATGTGCCCCTAGCACAGAAGGTGTCCCCAGCTTTCCCCTCCATCTCGGAGCCCCTTGGGGCGCTCTGGGTCTCGGGCGGGGTGCCCTGGAGGCCCTGCGGCCCTGGGTGCGTCGTAAGAGTGGCGTTGGATAGGGTTCGGCCTCAGGGGGCCCTTGCCAGGCCGCGAGACCGTCAAAAACGACTTGGAGTGAAAGGCTGGCGAAAGTCGGCGGCGAGCGAGGGGGTAAGTGAGAAGGAGAAGACCAGAAGGCAGCGGGGCTTCTCAGAAGCCCCCCAGCCTTCTGATAAGTTTTGCTTGACTTCGGGGAAGGCCTAGAAACCTTGTCTGAAGGCCAGGGGACTTCCGAGCTTTCTGAGAGGGCCCGCCCCTTCTCACTTCCCCTCCCCCGGCTCGCCGCCGCAAAAGGGAAGGAGTCGAGATCTCTGGGCCCCACGTCGCGAAAGAAACCGCATCGGGGGCCTGGGTGCTGCGGGTGCGGCGCTGGGCGGCGCTCCCGCGGGCGGGGTTGGGTGCCAGAGGCCCCCTCCCCGGGACGCCCCCGAGAGGGCCCCAGGAGGCTTTCGAGAGGCCCCCAGGAGGCGCCCCAAAAGGGAGGTCCACCGAGAGGCCTCTGTGTGAGAGGCCTGTGGCCAACGACCCAAGCACGGCTGCGGGATAGGCCGAGGGCCGCTGAATACACGCCCGACGTCCGCGGCCCAGAGCGGCGAGCTCAAGGAGCACAGGGGACTGGGGCCAGGGGGGGTCCCATGGCCTGGCCGATTTCGGAGTGCTGGTCCCCCAAGAGGCCAGCCACTGCATCCCCTAGTCGGCGGATATCGGCCGAAATTTCGGACAGCGCCCACGCACACGTCGAAATGCAAATGAGCACGACTTCCTCCTCTTTCTCCTCTTCCTCTTCCTCCTCCTCCTCATCCACCATCCTTTTTCCTTGTGAATAACTCCTCCCTGTCGCACCCCGAGGCTGGTCGAAAGGGCGGACCAGGCGTTTCGCCGAAGACTCCCTCACCAAACATGGTCCTGCAGCTTGACATTTGCAAGAGCTTCACAGATGGAGGGCGGTCCACTTTACGCAGCTCTCCTCCACCTATTCCCTTCCCTCCTCTTCAATGTCCTGGCAGCCATCGGAACTCGAGCCCCTCTTTCCTTCTCCTCATGGGCCCTTCGCCTCTGCTGGTGCACGTCCTGCTGCTGCTAAGCCTGTCGCTGTCGCTGCGGCTGCGTTCGACCCACGATTCCACGATCATCGTACAACCCTTTGCGACTGAATTACCAGGTCCTCCAACGCCGTGTTCCTTAAGATGCCTTCCTGAATCCTCCACACCCTTCTCCTCCTCATCCTCCCCTGTCTCCCTCTCATCCTCCTACTAAAACTACGCCTACCAATACACCTACGACTTCGACTGCGACTACGATTGCGACTACGACTACTCTGTTTCAACTACTACGACCACTAGTAATATTACTACGAATTCTACTACTACTACTACTACTACTACTACTACTACTACTACTACTACTACTACTACTACTACTACGACTACTACTACTACTACTACTACTACTACTACTACTACTACTACTACTACTACTACTACTACTACTACTACTACTACTACTACTACTACTACTACTTACTACTACTACTACTACTACTACTACTACTACTACTACTACTACTACTACTACTACTACTACTACTACTA